CAGGCAACAGACTTCTCAAGCCTGTGGCTTTCAATCTCCTTTTAGGTGGCCATAAAGAAGATTTTTCTTCAAAACAGAGAGCAGGAAAAGGATAAAGTTGTAAATGAAGTTGTGGTCCTGAAGAGAATGAGGCACCCCAATATTGTTGACTATATAGACAGGTGAGTGCTTCTGGGATTATCACATCGACCTTCATTGACACACTGCAAGCCAAAGGCTTAAAAGCCTCTTTGGTCACTGGAAGAATGTGGAGCTCTTTATTATTTCTCTCCTCCTCCATCTCCAGTGGATGGGAAGAGCTTGCCCTGTGTCTGCCTTGTTCTCTTCTGGTATAAGTAGTTTGAAGCCTGTCTTCCAAACCTGGATCTGCCAGGTCTTCCTAAAGCAACAGCCCTTCAGTTCACTACCTCCCATAAGGTCATTTAGCTGTGCACATTCATCTCCATGTTGTTGTTTTCCTCTTTCAGCTACCTTTTCAATGAAGAACTCTGGCTGGTGATGAAATATGTGGAAGGATGTACCTTAGGAGCTGTGGTTTCCAAGCAATCTCTGGAGGAAGCGATGATAGCCGCTATCAGTAAAGAGGTAAGGGATGCTGCTCGTGCTTCTGATGGCTTGGACAGGATGGTTCTTTGTTAAAGGAGGTAAGAACAAGAGTGACTTCATGTTCAGGGCTTGGTATCTGCGTTGCTGTTATCATCTGGAGAAAAAATGAGCATCACTGCATTTCTTGCACTCTGTTATTCTACTCCTATACTGTGGTTGTGCTTTCTTTTTTAGTTTAATTTCATGTTATTTTATTTAAAATTCTAACTTTGCCTCTTGAAACTGGAGCATGTCTGCACTGCATTCTCTGCTTGTAAAAGCAGACATGCTGGTGGCAGTATTTTGAACTAACAGCCAATGAGTAGAGAGTCATTTCTCACAGTCCTCAGCTTGAAAGGATATCCCTGCACCCAAAAAACCTTTTGACAAGTGATTAATGTGTCAATTCCGTATCTGCTGTCAAGGCCAGCAATAAAAGTTTTGTGATGCAGACTCCACCCCTAAAGGGATCCACTTCTTACTGAAGGGAGAGATGTTGTCTGGTTTTGGCAAATCATTTTTTGTCACCTGGATGGAGAGAGCAGAGCCAGTGCAGTAAATTTCTCTAGGTTTGGAAGGGACAGAGTTTAACAACAACTGATGTTGCAGCTAGAAATGA